CACACACACACACACACACACACACACTCACACACACACACTCACTCTCCCTTTCCCCTAATCTTAAAAATCACTGCTCGACATCACTCCTGGGCTGCTGGAGGAGGTACAACAGAGACAATGTTTCTAATAGGATCTGCACTGCTTAAGCCCCCAGGTTTCTCTCTTGTTTGTTAAAACTGCTTGCTTAAAGGTGTCTTATCTGTTAAGGAAGGAAAGGTGTTTCATTGGTAAATGCAGCACACCACCTCATGTTGTACTATGCACACCTATTAACAAGCAGAACAGCCCATGCATGCACAAAGGAGGCAGAACAGAGCGATTTCTACACTAAAGGCCTGGGGAGGATTATCTCCGCAGGGTGTCTACAGTAGGCTGATTAAATGGACCCTATAGATCAGAACCAAGGGCCAGCAGGGTGAGAGGTCAGTGCATTTTCGTGAAGGTGAGGCTACTAAGTTAATCGAGCCAGTCAGGGCTTGATCTGATTGACTTAATTGTTTTCACCATATCATTACTCACAGGTTGCAAGTTCGCTCAGTGAAAAGGTGATAGAAAGAAATCCACGAATCTCATAAGTTGAAGACCGAAAAGCAATTTTGAAAGGTTGAAAGAGGCGAATGATAAGTTCAGCTTCGTAATTGACAGCTCAGGTGAAACAGAACCCCAGCAGGGGCGGACTGTCAGGAGGTTTCGTGCACAACCCTTGGGATGTCCGCTCAGAATCTGAAATAAATTCTTTGTAATCCTGGTCTGCATGATTACCAGCCAGGGATAGACCACTGCTGCATTTTTCCACCTGGACTCTGATCTGGACAAGTCCTCAATCAATTAGCTGACTCTAAGCTGAATCTAAGATTATCTTTCTCAGACGACCGTGAGAACTGATTGAAGAGAGTTATAATAAAAAGATTTGCAAGAGAAAGGAATCACAGCTCCATGGTCACCTGCTTCCTCCTAGGGGCCTCTGGAGTGAAGGGCACTTGCATTTCAGCCACTGCTGTGAGCCGCGAGACCAGTAGGGGGCAGTCTTTGCTATTCTGTTCCGTTTCTAGCTCTTGTTCCAGCAAATGTTTAATCCCTAAATTGACAAGTGGCAGCACCTGGGCTACATTAAAACAATCCAGTAACTGATGCATTGGTAGGATCACAGTCCTGTAAAGGTCCAGACTGAAAAAGGCCCAAGTCTCTGACCTCTGACCTGGGGCTCTGTACATGCCCCTGGAACCTCCAGCCGATTGACCAAGTCGCTGGGGTTCCACACCTGTTCCGAGAAGCTGCCATGATTGCAGGGCAGTTCCCGTCTCTGAGGTCCAATCAGGGACGTTTTTGCCATCTGTCCACCATGCCCCTATCCTCTCCATGCTTTGCCTTAAGCGCGGTTAAGGAGGCTGCCCCTCAGGTGGACGTGACCAGACCCACAGGCAGTGCAAGCTCTGCACTGTCAACACTGTGCTTGAGCTCGCAATGCTGTTCAGAATTGGTTGCCGCAGTTTCTAAGTACATCTTGTTTTAGGAGGAGATGTTTCTTGGTTGTTTCAATTTTCCTTTGGAGTGTTTAAACAGCGCTTAGCTCATATCTATCCTGATTATATCAGAAAGTCAAAATGTGGCAGTATTCACCTAGAGCATTGTTATACCAGGTGTTATATCACTATAGGTGTTAACACTCATTTATGAGGATTTTTTCTTCGCTCTCACAACAAGAGCATCTGGTTCATAAGGTATATTTGGCACTTAATTATTATTAAGATTAAGGCACTTTGTTTGTCACACCTCAGTTCTGCAGAGAATACAGGCACCAGGGGTTGTTTTATTCCTAATTGTCCTGTACGTAGTATTGATTCAGTCTGCCCTAAAATAAAAAAGCAAAACATGTATTTTCAGGTTTTTATGCACTTTTTTTTATCAGTCTGCTATACAAGTGTTTCGGGAGTTAAAATCCTTTGAGCGACAGAAACATACCCCAGCATGTCTCTGACAGCAGACAGGATTGCCTGACAGCCTATTAGAGTAAGCAGGCAAGGCTGTACAAAGAATATTTGTTCTAAATCGATGCGTTGTACAGTCGTTTATCATTGAGAGAGAGGGTGTCCAGTCCTGGTCTTGGAGGGGTCAGTGTGTCTGCAGGGTGTCCAGTCCTGGTTCGGGAGGGGTCAGTGTGTCTGCAGGGTGTCCAGTCCTGGTCCTGG